TTTGTTTGTGACCCGATTTTGGTCACGTCCCGAATCAAATTTCCCCATAAGGTTCAATGTAATTACGGTTAATCTGTTCTGAACCATGTATTTTTTTTTTTAAACCGCAAAAATATGAAACAAAATACGGTACGAAGAGAGAGAACGGTACCCTCGCTCAACGCAACTTCTGGCGTGGAGGACAGGAAGGCGGGTGGGGAGGCGGTTATTGCTTGGAGGGAGAGTCCCCTCCCTCCAGGAAGCCACCACCACGTGTCACGGGAGGGAAAATGGCCACGGATCCTGTTTGTCATCCGATCCGGTGTTCGCGAATGGAAGCAAAATTTTGCGAACGGAGCTGTTCGTGACCCGAATTGGTCGTGAACAGAAGCGTTCGTGACCCGAGGTACCACTGTATTTATGTCACCACACAAATAGCATAAAATGATATGAATGGCAAAAAATGCTCCAATGATATACTCCTTGATTTAATGGACAATCAGGAATAATGGATACTTCTTCCCCTGCATTTGGTTTATTATATCACTGTATATCTTTATTTCTAAGGCAATATCACTATATAATATACTTCATACAATATCACATACAAAGATTTTTTTTCTCCAGGGATAACTAAATGTCACAAGCATGGGATCAAAGAAAGAGGAATGAAAGACAAAATAATCAAGGATGCAGAGGAGTGAAGGCATTTTAAAGCCCTATCAGAGACAGAGAATTAAATCTACATCTTTTTTGTATATATTAGGAGTGTGTATATTGTTTTCCCTTAAAATATCACTTTGGCACCCCTGTAGGGGAAAACTTCATTCTAATCTAAAGAACACAGAAAAATATTTTAGAAATAAATGCAACCCCCAAATGAGGAACATCTCATGCTTTTTAATCTTAAAGTCTTCCCCCCAAGTCTCCAAGAGTCCCAAATGTTGCTACATGAAAGACTTCAAGAAATTTCAGATAAAGCTGCATGTATCAAAATTAAAACAGATGACTCTGTGTTATTATTTTGCTGTTGTATTGTTCTGAGATACACTGAGTTCCCCAAACATCCTCTTCCAGTTGCGTCCCTGCACAAAGCAAGCCTTTGTGCGTGGCAGAAGCCAAGCATGCTTGGGCACTGTGGAAACATGACAAGGCCCCATGCAGCTGCAGCCTTATGGCAAAGCAAAAGATAAGCAGCACATCAAGAACCAAGTAAAAAGGCTTATCTAACTGGCCCATTTGTCTCCAGCTATTTATTGCTTTAAGGTGAAGCCATGTCTTTACTACAATAGTCTGTTTTGACCTGTGGCTTCCAAACTGGTTTTGTTGCCACTAATGTGCCTGGCCTACAAACATGTTGTTACTGATTTAAAACCAAAAATTACTAGCACAAAATACATGGATCTCTGTACTGATAACTAACTGCCATTTAGGGAAATTTTGCCAATGCTATTTTAAAGAGAGGACATATTTGGGTGAGATATGCTGTAAATTTGGCTTACAGGTGAATTCTTCCCCTCCATCACTGACTCCTCTCCCAGAGCAGAGCATAGTCCCTCTAGGTATAAATAACCAGAGAGTATCCCTCTGGTTTATTTTAGGTTTTGGGAAGCTCCCTGGTTACTTGTGCTGGGTAGAATCCTGCTGACATTGTGGTAAGGTTTAAAAAAGTAGCACATCCTAACTCTTCTGCTCTAGAGAGGAGCCATAAGACTGGGTTACATGCTTCTAGAGAAAAAAAAGATTATTATAGCTCATTGGGTCATCTGAAAATGCCCAAATTGTTTGAAATCTGATGAATGTATAAAGCTGTGCAAATGGAATAGCTTCCTGACATGAATTAATGGCAAAAGGAAATACATCTTAATCCACCACAGGTGCACTTCACCCATCGTTTATAATAAATATGCTCCCTTCTGTAACGCAGGATTAATGAAGCAATAGTTGAATGTTGTTTTTTTTTTAATCTGCCTATCCAAATGCCCAAAATCACTGATTTCTCCAATCTCTCTAATAGTGAAGAAGAGGTCATCATGATACCATGCTTTTCCTGACACATAGGGCAATGATACTTTATAGGGAAAATGCATAGACAATGTCATGGTTCAGCTAAATCTGCCTTAACCTTTCCAGGAAAGGGCTGAGGCTGAAACATGGGTCTTGTATTCTTTTCTTCATCCTTTGTCTCTTTTCTGAAAAGTCTGCAAACCTAATATAAGTAGTCTTATATTACTATCAGACTGTACCCATATTATAACCTAATTCAATTATCTGAGTCACGTTGCAGAAATGTATGCTTCAGAGGCAAATAGGTCCCTGGGAAATACAGCTGCTAGAATGTTGGACAGCAACTGCCAGTCAATAGACGTAATTCTGAAGGAAATGGGCCAATGTTTTATTTGATATGTTCACCAGCTTGTCACTTAGCATATGTTTAACATAAAGTAGCAGTTAACTAACCAATCACAACTTTCTAATGAGGATGACCGTGTAGCACATATTCACAAAACACAGATGAATTACAATCATCCATTACATTCTAGAAACGTATTGACTAAAATGTAATGCATAAGTCAACCTTGAGGGTTCTATCCAAGTTGTTATTTCTTTTATCATTCTACTGTGCTCATTGATCCTATACCAATTAATGAACACAGGCTTACCGTCCTCCAATGACATCAAAGAGGTGCTGCCAGCGGTCGTTAATTTTGTTGAGTTTCTCTTCAATTTCAACTCCTCTGCTTTTGCTGCTAGACTTGATCAGCTGATCACCCATTTGCTTGAAGTGAACTAACTGGCTTTCATTAAACAGATTGATTTCCTCCATGCAATCCTAAGCAAGAAGATTTCAAACTTTGAAATTAACAAACTTTGCATGAAATGAAAAAAGGTAGAAATATGACTTCTACAGAAAGAAACTTAAATGTAGGTTTCTAGTACTTTTAAAGTGAAAAAACAGAATAGTTGGTTACCTTAAAAATAACCAGCTCCCTCTTATTTTATCTCTAAACCTCAGCCAGAAAACATGGATTGCATTTTTCTTCCCCCATTTTGTTAATGCTTCCTCTTCATTGGATGAGAATATGAGCATTCATTTCAAAAAATGCTATGCTTTTCATTATCCTTCTCTCATCTCCTTAGAAAAGAACCCGTCACTAACAGAGCACAGCTTACAGTGCAGGATTTCTATATAACCAATTGCAGTATAATGAAAAGGGAACCTACCCACACACATTTGGGAGATATAGAATTTTACCTGCAAAACAATTTTTGATTTGTCCTAAATTACAATGTAATTTAGTTACCGTTACATCACCTCTGTGGATAAACTGCCTTTGGCCTTCTTGCTACTGTAAGCAAACAGCTGACCATTCTATCACTGTTTCTCCCAGATGATTGTTACACAAAGTTGAAGAAAAACATTTAAGCTTGCATTTTTCCTTTGCCCTCCCTCTCCTTTTTTCCTTGTGTGTCACAACTTTTCAATTGTACACTTAAGGGCTGGGGCTCTCATATTACTAAACTTTATAAACTTCTGAATGTTCTTATTTTTTGGCTAAAGGGTAAAGTAATAACAATTTAAATAAGTAATAAATAAACACCACAGAAGACTAAAGTATTATTTATTTTGCAGTTATGGGAAAAGCAGAAGATTACATCAAAATGTTTTAAGTTAATTCTTATTGATCTCTCCTAGAACTTCATTACTGCAAGAATATCTAAGCAAGAATAAACTTCTGTGTACATCAATAGTAGAAGCTCCTCAAGTGAGGAGAAAACATCTAACAAAAGTTTACTCACCTTTTGCAACTTCTCTAGCATGTCTTCAATACTGATATCTGCTGACTGAAGTACTTTTCCTTCCATCTGCACCAGCCATGCACAGAGCTTTTTATTTTTTTCATTGAACACAATCCAGGCATTGAGTTGGTCCTCTATGTCCTGCTTGCGAAGAGAAACCTATGGAGGAAGATACAGATGACAAGTATCTCCACTAAATTATGGGAGGAGCCAAACTTTACTGATGCAATCCAGGAGCAGATATAATGATACATTTTTCCCCTCAGCAGATTTCACTGCAAAATCCATCTCAAGCAGTTCCTCCACTTTCAAAGAATTTTTTCCCCATTTTTGGGTGGAGGTGGAAGCATCCAAAATGTTGTCCTGCTGATATAGCAAAGAGGTGTAAAGTTGATCCAGAAAACACCAGATTATTTCACTTGTCAGTCCATTTAACTGGCAACATTGAGTACTATGTCTATGTATGGGTGAAATATTTGAGTTCTTAAGTAGATGAAAATATTGACAACACATGTTAGCTGTGTACAAACATAATGCTACCCTGGATTTTTAAAGACATACAGTGCATTTGGAAAGTATTCAGACCACTTTCACTTTTTTCA